AGTTAGGGGTGACCAGGCCAGCAAGAGGGGCAGTTGGGGGCGATTAGGCTAGAAGGGGGGGTCAGTGAGGGGCAACTAGGCAGGTGGGGGGGCAGTTGGGGGTGACCAACCCAGCAGAGGGGGGTGACCAGGCCGGCACGGGGGGCAGTAAGGGGTGATCAGGCTGGCAGGCGGGGGGGGGGCAGTTAGGGGCAACCAGGCTGGCAAGAGGGGCAGTGAGGGACGATCAGGCCAGAACGCAGAGGCAATGAGGGGCAATCAGGGCAGCAGGGGGAGGCAGTTAGGGGCAACCAGGCAGGCAGGCAGGTGAGCGATTAGGAGCCAGCGGTCAAGGATTTTGAGAGGGATGTCCCTCAAGGGTCCCGGATTGGAGAGGGTGCAAGCTGGGCTGAGGGGATCCCCCCCTTCCCCATGCACGAATTTTGTGCACCGGGCCTCTAGTATTTGAATAAGCTGGTTCCTTAAGAGCTTATCAAGCATGTTGCTGCCCTATTGTACTGGGTGTTTCTATCACAATGGGAATGTGTAACTCATGGCATTTCCACGACTACTGCAGCAGTGGAAAGTTCTCATCTAAATGAAGCACTCTTGATTCAACTTGCATAGGCTTCAAACTACTTAGTCCTTTTTGGTTTAGACAGGTTAATTAACAAATGAATAAATGAATGGGATTTCTAACCTATCACCAGGCATTGCATTATGTAGAATTGTCCAAACATTTAAAAAAAGGTTATACTAGAAAACCAACTTAGTACACAATTTAAAGAGAAAAATTTTTTATTGCAATATAAAATGCACTTATAAAATGTCCACAGAAGACGTAATTCTTCAATGCTATATAAATTTATTGGGAATATGTTATTCACCTTCTATTGTTATGATGACACCACCTAAAATATACTGTAAACGATGAGTTACACTCTATAACAAATGCATCACTGATTTTTCAACAATCATTGGTTTAATAATAATTAGTTTTAAGACTCTATAATCACATCTATATTCTGGAATGTTCATTTACTTTCATGTAGTGTAGTGGAATTTAGAGTATAATTGCACATGGATAGTACAGAAAAACATTCACTGCTAAATTATTTTATGACAGGTTAACAATCTTCCTGACTAAAAACAACAGCTTCAGGATTCTCAATGCAGGAATTTGTGTGTATGTTGTGTCTATGTGTGCACCCATGAAACAACTTAAAATATATCTTTAGTAAACAAGTGCAACATTACTGTTGATTATTTTGCACAAACATAATAGTCTGATTAATTGTAAACAAACAAAACCCCACACAAATACTTATTTAATTCTAGGAAAAAAATCTGTCAACCTATAATTACTCTAATATGCTTTACTCGAACACACATCGAATTTCTGAAAGGTGCATATATTACCTTAGGTAATAATGTGTAAAAGTGAGTGTTTTGTATTTTATACTATGAAATGTGCATTTCTGATATTGTTTTATGCAGCATAAAGTTTAGATCAAAAAATTCTAAATTCTGGATCCCCACAGTTCATTTAGAAAACACCTCCAAGTTATGGCTCTCGCAGCAGGTTTAATAGATTAAACATGATGAAGTGTTCTAGCTCCCTCTATTTCAAGTATCAAAGAAAAATGAGGCTCAAAATCTCTGTAGGTTGTAGATAAAAATGCAAAGCTTTGGAAAACAGTTAAATGTGTCTTGAAATAAGATAAAAATTGAAACAAGATTCTTTAGTGTTCATCTGTGTTAGGCCAAGTACTGGGACTTTAAAACAGTTTGGTTAAATCTGAATATTTGCTCAAAAATGATAGAGAACACAATTTTCCTATAAATATATGGTTTTGTAGAGAAATCAATCTTGATGTTTTCAGTATTACTGACTTTAAATATTTGCTTTGGAATTATATTAATACTATGATATTACATTCAATTGAACGTAAATATTTGGCCTCACACTACTTACAATGAAATGACTTATTTTTGAAATAGAAATTTTTTAAAGCATTAGAAAGAGAATTTACTAAAGCTGTATAAACATGTCTTCCAATGACATGAGAAATCCTGCAGTACAGAAAATATCTTGTGCCCTTAAGGTTTCAGAGTGAGCTGATCTTCTGAAATTTTAATGCCATTTAAAAAACCAAAAAGTGAAATAGAAGACTGCTGCAAGAAAGCACTGTTTCTAAAAGTTGCAAACATGATCCCACTCTGAGAGTTAGCCTGCTCCTCAAAGTAAGCAACTTTCCACCTCTTCTTAGGCACACTAATCTTCAGCTTAGAAAATAACCTAACCTGATTCTTTTTTTTTCTTTATTGATTAAGGTATTACATAATCCTTAAATAGTATGAATATTTTAAGGCCTTTCTCCCTTAAAGAAAAAATTTTGTCTCACTAAAGAGTAATAGGAAGTACATCTTACTTTCAGACATTAGACTTTCTGGAATTGGCCCAACTGTACAAAACTTGAAGAATTCTGTGACAGTGTGGAATCATCACTCTGAAAACAGTGTGACAAAATTAAACATCACTATATTGAACCCTTTTCTAGCTTTAACTCAAAAATAGAAATCATGAGACTTCTATAACATTAATTTTAAAAACACACAGAAGTGAAAAGTGCTATTTTTCAAAAAGTTCAAATTTTTTCTCTACTACATATCAACATGGAATGATTTTAGTTCTCCTGTACTAAAAGTTGGACTTTTAAAAAACTAGTATTGTAACACTTAATATAATGATATTAATCAGTAGTGGCTTCAGTTTCAGCTGGACCCCTAATTAGTCTTCGAATTCCCCTTTTTCCTGCAGGACCTTTAGGTTTTGCAAAACTTTGCTTATGTGCGTGCTGCTTAGGGTGTACTTCTTCATAAAGGAAGTCCGCAGTCAGCTCATCCCCATTGTCTATCTCAATCTATAAGAGAAGAAATCAATAAAGAGTAATGCAAAATGAAAAATACACCATGCAAACCATAATGAGCACTTGAAATGTGGCTAGTGTTATTCAGAAACTAAATTTTAAATTTTATTTAATTTTAATTTATATTAAAATTTAAGTAGCCACATATAGTTTGTGGCTACATATTAGAGTATAGATCTATAGGGAGACGGATCATGATAGGAGTGGAGGAGATCCTAAGGATTTATGATGAGAACAAGGAAACACTTTTATTTATAAATCACAATACATCATGAACTACATGCAAAGGCAATACAAATCTAGCAAAAACTGAAAAACTTTTAAATAGGTAGGCATTAGATAACTATTGATAAGATAAATTACATAAATAAGTAGGTAGGTAATTACCTTTCTAATGACATCCATTTGTAGTTGTCTTTCTACAATTTCTAGCAGAGGACTCTTGCAGCTAGAATACAGCATCCGTTCTCTTATACTGCATGTATATCCAGGCATTGAATAAATAAAAACTGTGTTAAAAAAATAACAACAAATACAATTAGCAGCATATCAATTAAAGCAAATACTAAACCTCATAAGCCTTCTGGGCAAGAAATAAGTAACATGTTAAAAACAATGTGTCACATACCTATGGACTCCAAATAGTCTCCTTCATGAGAATGTTTATACAGAAAGAAATGGTAACGTGCTGAATCCTTGGGAATCCTCTTTGGCAAATCTTTTAGTTCTGTATTTGTTGTGTTGGCCAAAATTATTATTTCATTTTTTATGTCTATTTCCTGTCAATAAGAAACAAAGTATACTCATTAAAACAGATACAAAGATATTTTAAAATGATAATTAAAATACTAGGAGATAAGGGGAAACATACAGGTTTAACTTTTTCACATGAATGTATTATACATTGCTTTTATAGTTGAAAAATATGGGTAAGAATAATCAGGAAGCAAATAAAACAAATAAAAAGTTGGAAAATCTATTAAAAATAGACCTTCTCTAAGCCATAAGCTACCAAAAAGAGCAGTCATTTCATAATAATCATTTTATGTCTTACCAATTGCACATAGTTGAGCTGTCTGTTACTCAATTTTTCCAAAGCTTGAAAAGCTTCTCGAGAAATAGGAAATGCCACTCCTTGCAGTGTTTGATGCTTAGTGTCCACACTCACGTCAGTCTGTACCTAAGTATGACAGATTTAATGTACGGATAAATTTCCAGCATTAAGCAGTGTCATATGGCAGATATAACAAAACCCCACTACTATAAAGTGCCATTCCACCCTTGCCCATTTCAATGTAATTAAAATGAACACTTAAAACACTACGAACTTAAAAAGCAAGTAATTTTTCACATTTGTTAATGTCCTGCTAGCACTTTGTCAACATGCACAGTGCATGACACATCTTTATGAAAATGTGGGGAGTGAATGTAAGTGTTAATGGGGTTTTAGGGGTTTTTATTTGTTTGGCACAACTGCAGTGAGCTACATAAGCTCTCTGAAGTGTCTTCATATTACACCTTTAATTATCAAATTTTACTTGATAAGATTTATGGACAGTAATATATATACATATATATATATATATATATATAAAGTATGTATAGAGCTTTATTTTGTTCTGCTAGACATAAAATGTAACACAAATACCATGCACTGAATTCAAAGGAGTACACACAGTATACAAAGACACACACACAGCTCAACAAAGTATACTACTGCAGAAGTTCCAGATTCAGAGCTTTCATTACTAAGAACATGGGTGTACATGTACTGGAAGAAGAGTACTTCAAGAAAGCTTTCAATGCATGTTTAAGACTTTTATACTCAATAACTGATAGCTTATATAGGGTCTCATTTGCAGTGTTGCAACAAAAAATCAAAAAGAAGTTTTACTTTAAAAAAAAATGAATGGAGATTCTACAGCATAAATGATATTGGATAATGAAAACATTATAGAACATGTGCAAATGCATACCCCAATATGATCCTCTGGGTTCTGATTGCAAGGAATAAAACAAACTATCAAACTTGTAAAAAAAAAAATCACATAAAAGTACCTACTCAAGTTACCTGAGTTAATATAAAAATAGATCCTTGCTATCAGGTTAAAGAATATTCAATCGCTTTCCAGACTTATTCCTATTAGTCTGTTAGTCAGACTAATGAATATTAGTTTCTGCTACTTGTTCTTTATTTTTTTTACTTGCTCTTTTCTATAAATTCCAGTAGAAATACAGTAGCTTTTCTAACTTCTAATTAGAATGGATACAGTAAACACATTAAAAAATGATAAACAATAATATGGAATTTATTGACTCAAATATGCTAAATAAGTATATACATATAAACACCATCTAAGTAGTGTCCACAGAAGTTAAATTTATAGAGCTTCTAGAACTCCTTAACATCCTATAGCATTTGTATTTTATTCTCTTTAGTCATCACTATTCCCTGACATAACATAAAAAAAAACCAAAAACCTGCTTTAGGGAAACTCAGTAGATACAGTATTCCCTGCACTAAATGGGTAACATACACTTTTCCCATTATTTAGTATCTAAAGTACAAAGTTAAAAACAGTTGTGCTTCCAACAGGAAGATTTACTATTCTGTCACATACATTATAAAGACAAAACAACACTATTTATGAAAATGACGTGAAGTTTAATATTCACTTTTAACCTTTTTCCTGAAAACACATTGAGCATAGTCTTGTCTCTAAACTAAACAGAATAATGTAAGCCACCTAACCTATTTATTGTCTAGTTATCACTTAAAAGCTTGCAATGGTTTCAAAATGGCAACTTACCTCATTAATTTTAATCTGTCGTAATTCTTCCTCAGCTGCAGTCAATGGGGCAGGAGAGGATTGTGACAGCAAGTATTTTTTATATCCATGTAATGATACATCTTCCTATAAGCAAAGAAATGCACTACTATTAGTTATTCTCTGGAAGTCACACCTCAGTGAGGTTACTCAGAACAAATTGTCAATTTAACAGAAAAGAAAACGTTTTCATTGAAATAAAACTATCAAGAATTTTACTATTTTTCCTTATTTTTTAAATCCTCTATTCTATAGGTTTCAAATTTAAGGGGAGAATCTACTCTTCATTTCCTCAAGTTTTATAATTACCAAGTCTTTTTATGAGTGTGCTGGTGGTGATGGCCAGCCACATGATGAACCAGTCATGCTGTAAGTCTAAAGGACAATTCTCATTAACCTGCTGGGGAAGCCTGCCCTATAATTATTTAACAATCAACATATCCAGACTATGAATTCTTATTATAATGACATAATTTCTCTATAATCATTCATAGAGAATAATAAAAGTTCTTATTTCAAAGAAAAAAATATTCCAGAAGTCTACTTTTTATCAAAATTTTGTGGTTTGGAAGACTGAGGACAGAATTAAAAAACTAGGCCATTTTACAATTAATGATGAATAAGCAAAGTAATCCATTTAATCTTGTATTCTACACAACAGATTATATTACTTTCTAAACCAGAAAAAAGGTCTAGACAACAAAACCTTGTTCACACTGGGACGGTGAGGGTTGCCCAGGGTGGGAATGGCTGGGGGTTGGGGGAGGGGGGTGTCAATCGGGGGAAAAGGAGACATATGTAAAACTTTAGACAAAAACAAAGAAACACTATTAAAAAAGAAAACCCTGTTCAAAAAATATATTTCAATTTCCTTTTAAAACAAAGTAAATTCCTAATCATAATTTAACTAATTAAAATACATTAATCAACCCACTAATTATCCCAATTAACTATCAAATCAATTTATCTGCCTCAATATTCTGATTTAAATAAAATAGTTACTGCTTCCACAACTTGGGTATAAATGTCCATAATATCTAAAAAATATTTTATCAAGTAATCTCTAATTTTTCTGAGGCTATTTCACTATCATTAAAATGAAATGGTTGAACTAAATGAGGGGTTGAACTAGAGCATTTCTAGGGTATATTCTAGTTTTTGAAGTCTAACTAAGTAGATTCCAACATATTTTTTAAAGGATAAGTATAATGTTTCAGTTAACTTAGCTATCATATGAAATATAACAATATTTTCTCTCTTATTCTTATGTTTACAGATTCATCAATCCAAATTCATATCAATTACCCATTACTTAGGAGTTCTTCCATCAGGTATAATTATAGAAGTATAAGTTTTGTACCTTTACTGTTCCAAATACTTCATCTTTAATGTGGCCACCTCCAAACTCCTTTTTCAGAGTTGCTCTTGTTGCTGCATACAACATTTTTTGACGAACCTATTAAGTTGTGAAAGTTTGCTTAGAAGTTTATAGATAAAATCTACTATTACAAAAGAAAACACTTTCTGAATATATTAAAATATTCAAGCACATTAAAAATAAACTGTACTGACTACAATACGCTAAAGTATGTGTCTACAAATAAACATAACACCAGTGTCTAAACTATCACGGCTATTAAGGCAGATTTCAATTTATGTCATACTTTTCAAAAAGTGGAAAACAATCTAAATTCTTATAAATTACTCATTTTTAAAAGTATAAAATGAGTTCAAGAAAAAAAACCCTACTTAAAACACTATTTTAAAATATGAGGAAGAAAAAACTGAAATGAAGTAACTTTGCTACTGACATATTACTAAAAGCAAATCTAGATTAGACATTACTAATTAAGATCAAATATTCATGGCATATCTATGGTATACATGGGGTATACAGGGGATATATGTGATATACCTATGGTATATCCATAGGAGGGAAACATAAATGAAAAGAACTACAATATATACTATAATTAAAGACTCTAATAACATCTACGGAAAACCAATAGAAATTGTCAACCAACAGAAATCATCATTTCATAATCCTCTATGGTCAAATCCAGTATTTCTTTCAGATAGGATATATGAAATTAAAGAGGAGGATGACTCTTGAGAATGATATCTAGATAACTTTAAAAATTGTAGTTTTTCTACAAGAAACAAGAGAATTACTGTTTAAAACAGTAGTATCCATATATTAATTTTGTCTTTTGTTTTACTTAGTCAATCTATTTAGTCAATTTTAACTTTACTAAAAAAACAAAAAACAAACAAAAAAACACAACCTGTATCACTTGAATGGCAGCTGTTAAAAATATTTAATGTAATGTTCAATTAATTCTCAGAATTATTACAATTATTACTCTCAGCCCAAAGTAGTTAGCTTTACTCTTTAGAGGTCCATAGTAATTTATAATTGCTACAGATTTTAAAGTTCAAATCAATAATAATTCTACTAATTTCAAGGGCAAGACTTCTGAATCTAAGCACATTACTCCTAATTCCACATTACCAATCCAAGGATTTTCTCCATGATCATTCTCTTCTATGGAAAATGATTGTTGCTTCCTAACTTTCTCTTAGCCTAGAAATATTTCAGAAAAAGAATTCTAGCATTTGATGTTAAACAAGTTACAAAAAAGTTACTTACATGAGAATGATCTGGAGACCATGCAATGAATATCCACTCATATCCCTGGGCATTCTGAGAATCTAACCTGAACAATATATAGCACGGTTGCTTGTCCTCCAACAGGGGTAAAACAAAGGAATCATAATCCTTATCCCAGGAATCTGAAGGTTGACTACACGATCCAATCACAAGTTTCTCTATAAAGGATAATTTTTTAAAGATACATAAATGGTTTGAAAAACCAAATGATAAAGAGTAACCAAGAATAGAAGAATAAATTTAGTTATTTCCTGATTACTATTATTCACATCAAAAAGTTGAAAGGAAAATGGGTGCTACACAAAAAATTATTATGATATAAAGTAGTATTAAAAACAGATACAAAAATGTTATGACTAGCATGGTTAAAATAATGTTACTTATTAAAAAACTCAAGAAAGGAAAAGATAAAAATGACCATAAATAGTTGAGCTGGATGGCTGAAGAATGGGTGGTTATATTTCCTAAAATGCTTAATATATTAAAGTATATTTAAATAAGTGTACTACCACTCAAAAGATCATTTCTGAAATTAACAATGAATTATACAGTAAGAAATATTAAATTAAACCAGGTTTAGTTCCTATCTGGCCATAATGCTACAAATTTAAAACTTGTCCACTTTAAGGCACTATGTGACAGAATCATGTAAAAGTGTAAATGTACTGTGCATAGAGAATCTCTTGCACATATATACAAAGGTGTTGACTGCAGCATTATATAACAGCAGAAACTGAAAATGGCTTAAAATATTATCAATAAGAGAATGGACATACCATATGTGGCATAGTCACATGATAAAATTCTATTCATAGTAGTAGCAGTTATTAAGAGAAGATGGAAGTATCTGTTATATTATCCTTATTGAAAAAATTTTCTCCGGATAAAAATAAAGTAAAACCAGAAAATAATGATTTAGGAAACTGTCATTTTTCCTTCTGTAGAGATATTAGTCAAGCTTTACCATTTTACTTAGTCAGTTAAGAAATGATGGTTTAAAATTTTAGCTCAGCATTTCTAAAATATGCTGCTATTCAGTTTATTCCTGTTCAATGTGGTAATATATGTAGAACAACTGCATATTTCCAAACTATTCTAGCCTTTTTAATATATAAGTAGAAAATAGAGAGCAAATTATATTTACTTCCAGTTTATGAGAGGACAAGTTATTTTTCCAAAGCAAAATATTTCAAAACATTTAAGAGATGGACCTGGAGAGCATTATGCTAAGTGAAATAAGGCAGTTGGAGAAAGACAAATATCACATGATCTCATTCATTTGTGGAATATAATGAACAACATAAACTGATGAACAAAAATAAATCCGGAGACATGGAAGCACCAGACAGACTGTCAAACCTCAGAGGGAAGGCAGGGAATGGGGGTAAGAGATCAACCAAAGGACTTCTATCCATGTATATAAGGATGACCGATGGGTACAGACAATAGGGGAGTGGGGGCATGTGCTGGGGGGCGGGAGAGGTCAATGGGGGAAAAAGGAGACATATGAAATTGGGCTAATGATGTATTTTAACCTATTCATTTGTGATTAAGTAGTTATAAAATAAATTGTTCAAATTCAAATCTAGCAGAATTAAAATATTCTTCCACCCAACCAAATTTTCCCTGCTTACAGATTTTGAAAGATCAACTTAAAGTCTGTTACGTTCTCAGAACGTTTTCCCAAAAGAAGGGGAATCATTTCTTCAGCGTAGACTGCAGTCAAGTGGAGAAAACAGGAGAGTTTGAAATCCTCTGTCTCTATTTCAAAACTAACTTTTCTGAATAACTATTCACAAATAACTATTTTTTGGATAATCCCATTACTGATTTCCATTCCAGAGGTGGAAGCCCTGACATTAGAAATGGATTGGCATGCAGAAACCGAGACAAAGAGTAAAAGAGGAAGGTGTCACAACAAAAAACCATCTTTCTTGCCCTAGCCGGTTTGGCTCAGTGGATAGAGAGCGTTGGCCTGAAGAGTCCCAGGTTCAATTCCGGTCAAGGGCACATGCTCCGGTTTTGGGCTCGATCCCCAGTAGGGGGTGTGCGGGAGGCAGCCAATCGTTGATTCTCTCTCATCATTGATGTTTCTATCTTTCTCTTCCTCTCCCATTCCTCCCAGAAACATCTTTCTTTTTCACTGAAAGTTCAGAATTCAGAAGGTAAGCAGAGGCCCATGGGACACGCCCAAAATGTATAGGATCCAAGTTGGCTAAAGGCAAGCTTTGAACTTGCTTCACATTTATAGTTCAAGTCACTGACAATGACTTAGAAGTTTAAAATCTAACACCCAGTAATCCACGGATAAGCAATATATAAAAATGTTTAACTAACCATTTTCAATAGATATTTTCAGAAGTCTGTATTTTCCATTTCTTGCTCTGGCAAAGATATCTTTAACATCTTCACTTGCTGTGGAAAAGATAAAGAAATATAAACCTATTTTTATACTTATGTATTAATACTTTCTAATGCTATTTAAGTGAGGAAAAATGAATTATAATACAAAGCAAAGTATCCTGAGTACATAGCATCCTCTTCTTATCAGTAATTTAAACACAGTGGACACTGTATACAGCTAAGAAATATAAATATATTTTAAAAGTATGTTAATGCTAACTTGTTTTAACTAGATAATTCCATAGCAGAATTAACACTGGGCCGGTGTGACTCAGTTGGTTGGAGCGAGACCCGGAGGTGTCTCAGGGCCCCATTCTGGGTCAGGGCACATACCCAGGCTGCCGGTTTGTCCTGATTGGGGTGCTTACAGGAGGCAAGCAATGTTCTCTCTCACATCAATGTTTCTTTCTCTCCCTAAAATCAATTAAAAAATAAAAAAAGAAATCACACAGGCAGTGAATATATTAGTCAAACCCAACAATGAACAAATTACAATTTTGAAAAAAATACCTTTATTGCTTCTTTGAAAAAAGTTGAAAACCTGCTTTCATTCTCTTCTACTCCAATTTCAAGCTTATGATAAACAAAAACACCTTTATCAATTTTCTACATTTTCTCATTAGAAATAACACTAAGTATAAGATATCCTATCTCGGCTAAAGAAAAAGCCAATAAAACCCATTCAAGCTTTTACTTCTGGTTACATTTTTCTAACTTGTATTCCCCCAAATGCTGGAATAAGCTCACTGAGCAGATACCTACTTAAAAATCTAACCCTTGTGTTCCCATTAAAGCTCCAATTTCGTTCTTGGGTTGCACGCTTGACAGCAAGAACCACTACAGTATTTAAAGCAGTGCTTGCGAGAAGGCTCAAGCGTCAAAGTTAAATCATGACATATTTAAATGTCAAAACCACCGCGGACAGATAAAAACAGATTTGAATCTATTTTGTTTATGTTTGTGTGTGCAGGGCAGATGCGGGGTCCTGTCCAGGACCCTGACGAACAGAAGACAATGACATGTTCATCTAGGCTAGGGGAAAAGGTTCGCCGTCCGCTAACAGGAAGGGCTTGTGTTTCTGGCAGAACTCATTAAGCGATCTCGAGTAACCCCGGGATATATTATTTGGCCGTGACGCGGGCAGCGCTTGCAGGCTGCCGATTCTCCGACACGGACGGGAGGCAGCTGTAATTGCACATGCAACTGCCTGCACGGCAACTAAAGGCGGCCACGCAGGTCGGGCGGCCCAGGTCCCCGGGGCAGTAACTGAGAAAAAGAGCCAAACACCCCACACTCGGGGGTTTCAGAACGTATTTCATGTTCCCATTTGGGAAGAAAATATGGAAGAGTTTGGAAACTCTCAGTGGAGATGAAAACCATGCCAGCATTTTTCTCTTTATAGTCAAATCCTGTAACAATCTCCCTTGGACCGTAAGAAGGAAAACTCTCCGTCTCTCGACAGCAAAAGGAGCCACGTCGCCTCACTTCCCGGGTCTCCCACCGATCAGGGGGAAAGTGGGCTACGGTCGGGCGCTGCAGCACGCCCTGCCCGGCGCGCGACACCATTCCTCGCTCCAGCGAATTCGGGTCCGTGCGCGCGACGGCGCGGCGGCCGGGCCCGGGGTGGGAGGGACGCAGGCCGGGAGCGCCCGG